TTAGATAAAATATATAAATACAATAGACACAATAAATAAATAAATATAGATATAAATATATATACATATATAAAAAAAGAAACATAAGTTTCGATATAAAAATATTCATTTGAAAATAGCGAAAATATTAATATCACCTAATGAATAAATATAAAATCTAAAAAAAATATTTAAAAACCATTATGCTATTATGAAATTGTTTGAAAATAATAAAATATGCATTATAAAATATATTTAACTTACCCTACTTCAAAAATAATACCTTCAAATGGTCCAATACGACCTTGAGTCGGTCGAATTTCAAAAACATTATATACAGGATATTTTTTACGATCAATATTCTAAAAAACATAAAAAATTATATAAAATTATTTTAAAAATTATATTAAAGATACAGCAACAAAATTATAAGTATAGTTATTATTTATCTTAATATGATATACATTAATAAAGAAATAATTTACTTAATTATACGAATAATGAAAAAATAAATTTAATATAAAATAATAAAAAAAATAATTAATATTTTAAATTTTCATTGAAAAATAAAAATAGTTAAAAAAAATGAACATTTACCCGCACACATACAAATTCATTATCAATTTCACCTAATACGACATAACTCGCTACTTGAGAAGAAATATTTCGAACGACAAAAGAATCATATTTTCGAGTATTAGCAACTGTTTTTGCAAAATCGATCAATGTGAAATCTCCAGTCGTATTTGGATGATAAATTATTAATCGCGGTATGATTATTTTGATATTAAAAGGAACACGTATATTCGGAACTGATTTGATCCTGAAAAAAACAAATGTTGTAACAATTTTTGTTAATTGTATTAAATAATTTTCCATACATTATACTTGATTAGAAAGAAATATAAAATATTTATCAAATTGTAATAACTATATCAAATATAGCGAACATCTCCATTATATGCAATTCTCTGCTAATATACTAATATTCGCTTGTTAAAAAAACAGTAAATATATATTTATATATAACAAATATATTTAATCGGTATTTTTTTCCAAGTTTTTCAAAAATGCATCATTTTGTAGCAATGTTATATTTAAGATTATTATAGATAATAAAATTTACCAAAATTCACTGACGAATGTTCCTTCATTTATACCAATTATTTCAACAGTAAGCTGAATTGGTTTGTTAGGTCGGACAATTCCACGCATAGGTTTTACCGTTATTTCTAATTCATTAATACCAAGATCAATTGAAAATCTATTAATATTAATTAATAATGTTAATATAATGTTAAACTAATATAAATATAAAAAAGAATATACATATATATATATATAATATAATTATTAATAAAAAGATATGAATTTAAATAAAAAAGTAAACCAAAAATGTAAAATAATATTTATTATTATAATATAATAATATTGTTATATAAAATTTCTAATGAATGGTATTAAAGAAATGAATTGGTATTAAAGAAACATCTGGAAATGTTTGGAGAATCCAACCAATTTATTTTAATATTTAGAATTGATATCAAAGATAGGTTAATCAAAAAATTCCATATGTTTTTTAACATCTGATATGAAATGAAAATAAAAAACAATATAACATGAATGATAAATATGATAAACAAAATAAAAGATTTAATACCTAGTACTTTTACCACCTTCGTTCTTGAGAGTTATTATTTTAATACCAGAAGAATGGCCAATATCAACGATTCCAAAATCGATTGATTTCGGTTCAATACTAATACCTTCGACTAATAATTTACAAATAACACGATAATCAAGAATTTCTCCATTAATCTCAATCGGAATCACTACGTGTAACAAAGATGGTCGCTTAAAGGAATACGTTACCATTGTTCGTATGCTAAATCCCGGATTCAATATTATTCCTTTACTCAAACTTTCAATTTGAAAAGACTGAAAAGAAAATCGTAAGAATGAAAAATAAAAATTATTTTCATTATTAAATTATAAAATATAATTATAACGAATAATAGTATTTCATTGATTAAATTTTTAAAGTTTCGTTTATATTATGTTAATTTTTTTAATATTAATTCTAAATTATTCATATAATGATACTTATTAAAAGAAAAAAATTTTTAATAAACAAAAATTAAAAAATATTTTCATAATTATTTTCCATTTTTTTAAGTTTTTTAATTTTCTTAAATTATAGTAGAAAAATAATTATGTTATCGCTTATCATTGAAATTATTTAAAATATCGTCATAATTAAATAAAATTTATGTTTCTATAGAAACATAATATAAAAAATATAGAAAATTCTATAAAGAAGTTAATGTAATTTATTGATGGCACATGTTTGTTAGCGACGGAATATTTTAAAAGAAATTAAAAGCAGATAGATCGATAGTATTACATTTTCGACTAATTTATAACAAGAATTGAATAGAATTTTTAAAAAATTATATGTTTTTTTTTTATAAATAAATTTAGATAATATCTGGCCATTCGAAATGATACACATATCGAATGTTAAATATCCGTTGTATATATATGTGCATCACATATTATTTAAAAAATTTGGAATCTTTAAGTATGATAGCTTATCTAAAGCCATATCACTTGCTAAAAAAACAGAAGTAGCTAAGAATTCTGAAGAATCTAACTATAAAGTATGGAAGAGAAAAATGTTTTTTGATAAAAGAATTGTGATTTATCATTTTTATGCTAAAATTATTAAGAGATAAATAAATTAGAAAAAAAAAACAAAATTTTTAAATTTCTAAAATTTTATTATTAAACACGTATTAAAATTTTATTTTTTAATTATTTTTTTAATTTTTAAGAAAATTTAATGAAATTTTATTTTTTTAAACAATTGAAAACAATAAATACATAATTTTAACTTACTATTGATTTGGTTTGATAAATTCTAATAAAAGCCGATTTTTTGCCTGTATTCTTAATAGTGATAGATTGATGACATGTAATTCCTTCACTGGCTTCTTTGAATTGAATAAATTTGGGATAGATACGAACTTCATCATGTTCAACGATTTCATTAATTGTGCTTGAAACATGTTGGACTTCGATACCTTCTTGTATGAATACAATTGATTTATTGGGCTAAAAACAATTTAAAGTGTTTCTTCAAAATAAAATAAAGATCAAAAATAAAATATTGTGTTTTTGATTTGATATTTTAGTTATTAATTAAAAATTATATAATTAAAAATTAATAATAATCTCCGGACGAAAGCAAACTTTTCTACAATTATTCTACGAATAAATATAGAGGAATTCAAAGAATAAATGACTTGTCAGTTTACAAAGAAAATAATTAAAATTAATATTACTTACACAATTTTTTAATTTCCCAATATCTATAGGTGCATTAAAAGCCATTTTATGAATAATAAAAAAATCTCCAATATATAATTAATATAATTAATAGAATGAAACATAACCCTATCTTTTGTAACAATAAAATGAGAATAAATTCAAATTAAGTCTTTTGTTTGACTTCATAATATATAATTATATAAATATATATAAATGTTATGTAAATATATATAAATTATATAATATATATATATATATATATATATAAAACAAATAAAAATTTGTTAATTATCTTAACATTATTTCATTCAATGTCTATTTGATATAGATATATTAATAAAATTTTTATTCAATTAGAAATTAATATATAATAAATATTTCAAATAAAATATATCTAGTGAGATCATAACAAGTCTAATCAATTCCTTATTAATTATTTATTTTGTTAAAAATGATTACTGAAAGCAAACTGAGTTTTTCAATAATATTGAAAAAAATAATTATCTAATCACTATCATGAAGAGTGGAAAACAGAAATCCGATCAATATATACTTAAATAATACTTACTTATAATAATTCATAGGAACATTACAACAAAATTAATTTCTGAAAATAAACATAAGAATTTCATTGTAATGAGATATATTGTAAAGTCGAGAACTTCGAATTATCTATTTTTTATTTTATATTTTATTTTTTATTAAAGATTAAAATAGATTAAAACACATTATAATTTTGAAAAAAAACGATGAAAATACGTTTAATTAATATTTTGTATCATACATGTTATCATCAAAAGGCAATAAAAGGAAATAATGGGAAAAAGACAGAAATACAATAAAAATTTGCAAATCAGTACTACCTCCAAAGTGACGCAACAAATAATAGAAAAAGAATAAAGATATGATAAGAACTAATCTTCAATGCCATCTTTCGAGACATGTCTTCAATAGTAAGATAAAATAGAATAAGAATTAAAAATTAACGTCATCTTTGGAGAATTTTGAAGAAATATTTTGAAAATACTTTACTAAAGATAGCGCTGATAGTTAATTATTATTCTATTTCTATTCTTCTTCTACTACTTGTTATCCTTTTCATATTTATATTTCATTTATATCACTCTGAAAATATTGTTGATTTTTAAATTTTTTCTATTTCTGTTCTTTTTTCACAATTTCCTCTCCTTATTTATATTTATTTTTAGTAAAAGTGAAATATGAGAATTGAATATATTTTCATTTTTTCTTTTTCAAAATTATGGTATATTTTATTTTTTAATATAAACTATATAAATATCATATTTTTAGTTTTTCTCTATACGTGATTCTATACTATGTAAAGCATGCGATATTAAACTCTTTAAACAAAATTATATATTAATGTAATTATATATTAATAGAAATCTTGATATATAAAATTGATTTTCAAATATTTTTAAAAATTATATTTTTAATGGAAAATATTATGTGTTCATGTCACTATTTATCCATCATTTTGCATCATGTAATTCATTGTAGAGTTAAAAATTTTAAAAAATTTGATAATAATAAATATTTACTATTTTTTATCAGGAAATATAAAGTAAATAAAATATATAAAAAAAAATTAGTAAACTTATTTATCATCAATCAATTTATTTATAATTTATAAGAATGTAAGCATATATATATATATATATACATATAAATTAATTTTACATGAAAATTTTACAGAAAATTTATTTTACCTTAACAAAGGTATTGATGTACCAGGTATATAAATTTGTACTTGACGATCTGACAACTTATATATATATTTTGATATTTGCGGCCAATTATATTTTATTCTAATATTATCTATTCTCCAATTAATTATTAGATTTCCAGATATATCACTAGAATATCCTGTTTTAAGAGGTTCAATTTTAATGAATAAATGAGCAATATATTTAAGAGTTTGTGCGAATATATTAGAAAAAGAATTTTTCAATTCATCTTTATAAATATGTGTTACAATACAAAGTTGAACTGTATTATAATGTTCAATCAATGATCTTAAATATCTTACATAATACATAGCTTCTCTCAAATTAACTCCGAAATTAAAAATATGATTCAAATCATCCATTATAATAAGTACAGATTCATTGCTTTGCATCATTTTTTCACATTCATTTTTAATAATTATAAATACATCATTAATTATACAATTTTTTGTTGGTTCATATATATATTCCATATTACATGCAATCATTTTTATTGGTTCTATAATTGTAATCTTATGTTTTTCTTTTAATAATGTAAGATTATAACCAAATTTCATACCCATGTTATGATAATGATTCATTGTATTATGGAAAAGAACAAAACATATTCCATAATTATTTTTTAATGCATTAAATATAACAGAGTTTAATAAAAAGTTTGCATTACTATCGTGCTGTTCTTCTATTAAAATTAATTTTCCACTCATATTTACTTTATCAATACCAAGTATGTTAGACACTGAATCCATTATTATATAATTATATTATTTTATATAATTATATTATTATATAACACTAAAAATTATATTTTTAAAAATTTATAAATTTATATTGTAAAATAAATATAATTTTATTAAAAATAATACTGATTATTTATTGTTACCTAAAAATTACATTAAAATCTAGGTTAGAACCATTTACTATGTAAATGATTTAATATATTATGAAATTATTGCGATTAGTGGCGCGTTTTTTAAAAATGTTTTAACTAATAACATTTTTAATTATAATTTAAAATAAATTTATTTTCATATGATAAGAAATAAACAGATATAAAATATAAATATAAATTTTAATATTTAACATATTTATTGATATGACATTAAGCTTATTAAATAAAAAAAATAATAATTCAGATATTAATTATTAATATTTTAATAAACACGTTTATAATTTTAAACATTCTAATATTATTTATAAGAAATATAACATGACTAATTATAAAAAATAAAATATTATAATATATTTTCACGTAACTTTCTAAATATAAGTGAATTTTACACAAATATTATATTTATAATATCATATTAATAATTTTTTGCAATGGATAAAAAAATATTAAAAATTAATATAAATTTAAAACATTTACATAGAATTTTTATTTGTAAAAAATATTATAATATTAATAGTAACTATTTGCAAAAAAATATTAAAAATAAATATATCAATAATAGTATATAGTATTAATAATATTATGTTTATTTATTTATATATTTATTTTTAGTATTTTTTAAATAAATATAATATTAAATATTTTTAATATTTTGTGTGTGTGTGTATATATATATATATATATATATATATATA